ATATCGTGCGCCTTGTTTGTACCCACTAAATAAGATGAAGATGTCTAGTTGTTGTGACGCATTTATGACTTTACTATTGTCGAACTATTGTGGTAAATGTAAGACCTCAGAATTGTTTAGTTATTCAGATACATGTAGGACCTTACTATTCTTCTGGGTTGTAATAATCATGGGGGTCTTCCCCTGAATAATTTCAACACTTTTCTGTTGTAGACATCCCTGCAAAACTTCAGTTTATAAACTTGTAGCTGTAATCTGTGATACTTTATTCCAGCGGCCCCCTGGCCCCAACATAGCTCTGCCACTGCTGAATACAACTAAAGGTGGCCGATGAGGCGATGAGCGGACAAAAGAGTTGAATACAACTAAAGGAGCCTGATGAAAAACTTTGGACCGTAATATTTGGGGAGCGACAGCCGGGGCCTGCCCTCAGATTAAATAGTTGATGGCCTGAAGAGCGGATAATCTGAAGAAGACAAATACTAAAAGGACTATTTATGAAGAAGAATGCAACAAACTGATGCCAGTTAAGTAGGAGTAACAATGATGGGTGAAACTGAACACATATGGTACTCAGCAGTGGCCAGGGGCCATAATGTTCACATCTTGCCATCAGCTTTTATCATGTCACGATGCACTGGAGGCAGAGATTCTGCTTTAATTGAAAGTTTGGCGCTGGCTAGATAATGGAGTAATCTTCCCATTGTAGTTGAGTGACTCAACTTGACTCAGACTGTTTGGAAACAGAGATAGATGAAGATTTGCTTTCTTAATTCATGAATTCGGACACAGCATGGCAGGACAGAACACTAGTATTACTCATGTGCGTTGATGTCAAAACTCTGTAAAGCTATATACTGGTGATCTATGGTAGAACTCAACAGCGCACTGTCGTCTTGTTAGGTGGTCAAACTGAATTTAACCTGTCATATGAGTAATACAAGTATTTGACGCAAAAAGGGAAATCGGGGAGCAATCCTTTGTCAAAAAGAAAACGTAATCCCGACACGGTGCATGGGCAATTATTTTTGGTGGCGATTATTTTTCAGTCTACTTTGACTTTGGTGGCGATTGCTGAGTTATTCTGCCTGATGGATAAGCTTCTGACAATTAAGTGAAGTAGCTAGCTTAAGTGACTAACTACGGGTGAAGCTTATCCTTAACAAAAGATGCAATGAAGTGTCACGCCTGATGCTGTACGTTGGCGCAACTCAAGTGTGTGTGAGTTAATTAGGTGTGGGTGTGGGGCTGCGTGCCAGCTGGGGTGAGGAGTACGAGAGTACGAGAGTACTTAGTCTGGGGTGCCTCCAAATGTGTGCAGTAGAAATATCATTGAGTGCGCAATCCACAAAATGTTGAATTTAACAAGATTTAGACTCGGGCATGTGTAATTGGTTATTCTAAATGACGGGTATACAGAGAAATAAGTAAGAGAAATGATTGAAGAGAAATTAGCTACTCCCTCTGTTCCTAAGTACAAGACCTTTTAGGGATTTCACTATAGACTATATACGGAGCAAAATAAATGAATCTACACTCTAAAGTATGTTTATATACATTCGTATGTAGTTTGTAGTGGAATATCTAAAAGGTCTTATATTTAGGAACGGAGGGAATAACCAGCAATTGCTCCAGAAGGTGCTATCTCTTCCGAAATTGGGTTTTCCATCATCCTGTGCACCAACTTCCAAACCAAAATTGGCACAACAATCATCTAACAAACAATGTTCTGGTGTAGTCACTCACTCGTTCCCCTTCAGCAAGGTCAGTTATTAATTAAGACTGCAAATAGGACACTTCTAATAATCAGGCTTCATAGTGAGGCAGAGACTTGATTAAACTTATCAATGTCTGTGCCATTAAGTAAGTAGCATAATTGTTGCATACAGTGCAGCCATCCGCCAATTTCTTTCTACCAGCGTTTCTTTCTTCTGTTTGAGATCAAGAGCAGGGTTCAAAATTCGGCCAGCTAGTGTTGGAGCCACAGTTTTACCGGCTAAGGTATGTCATTATTGTGATGTAAGAATGTGCATTAACTGTAGGTCATACAACGAAACGAAGATTACGGCATTCAAAAGTTTTGCATTTATATTACGTACTGGCTTATTTTCGTACACATGTATGAAGCCTTGCGGTTAATCAATTACAGTTGACTGTACATAAAAATTTCTACTACTACACTACACCTCAAACAGGGTAAATAGGTATATTTTGCGCACCCATACATATACTGTACTAAAACAGAAAAAATGGATGCAATAGGTCAAGATGAAATATTTTACATTGTTTCCATGATCAGACTGAATATAAAATATCACCTGACAGGTAAGAAAACAGAGAAGTCACACTGGGACTACAAAGCATTACATAGAGCACTTGGCAAGAAACATAACAGAGTGTAATGCTTGAACTCTGATGAAATTGTTAATTTAAGCTTTAAACACCATTGTATAGAAGCTTTATCAATGGTGTAATGCTGTAGCGCCAGGGTACATGAATCTGAAGAAACCTAACCCTTATGTAAAAGAGCCCAAAGCCTACTGTTTAGAAAATTATTACAAGTCCCGCTAAGATAAACTCAGTAAAAAGTCAATCTGCTAACACAAATTAATTAGTAACGCATAACCAAAACTGAGAAAAACGTTCTCATGAAGCCAATCCGCAGAGCCCAAATCAAGTCATCAAGTAATGGCTCGCCAACAAACAAATGATAACAGATAAAGCAAGACCATATATTTGCTGCACCAACATGATGTTAGTGAGACGACTAGAACCAAAACAAATAAAATCCTTTTAACATGTAATCAAACCAAGGAGAATGGATGTATATAAAATAAGCAACGATCATACCATGTAATCTAATACTGTGGACTTTTGATAAGAAAACATTTAGTAAAACAAAGAAATTTCCGAGGCAGAGTATCTGTATGAGTGGAAACCTATGGCGATTAGTTTGAAAGCTCACATAATTAAGCATATCTTTACAATCAACAATCTGAAGATTCAGTTGTTGGGGCTTAGGACTATGGATAGATGACTATGGACACATATTGGGTCTTAAGACTACCAATAGGCAACCATACAGCAAGATACACAATCAGGAAACATTACGATCTCAGTTCAGTTTATATGATTTCTTATAGTCAAGGTGTGTGTTCCAGTTTCGAAATTACCCCAAAAATATATGTGTTATATGTGATGAAATAACTTAGGAAAGAAAGACGATTAAATTCTGGTTGTTAAAGTGATCATACTGTACCTTAAAATAATAAAAAGGTCTTTGCTTGAAACCAAACCTTATCGTGGTCTTGTAACTTCTGCACTGTGGCATCATTCTCCCTTCCAGCAAGAATCCTGTCCTCGAGATCTATGCACACGTGCCAGCAGCAGCACCTTTCTCATCACCAGCAGTCATGACTTTGTCACCTATATCAACTAAGGGAAGGTTATATGATTTATAAGACGGAGTCAGGTTAAAAAGTTGATGGCCTGAAGAGTGAATAATCTGAAGAAAACAAATACACTACTAAGAGGACTTTGTTTCACGAAGAAGAACACAACAAACTGATGCTAGTTAAGTAGGATTAACAATGCTTATAGATTCAGATTCTGCATTTCGTAGACAACACAAGTAAAGGCGCCAGCGATGTGTAATATTCCCTGGGTGCCACCAGGCCAAGGATGGGTGAATGTTGAACACAGATGGTTCCTTTGATCCAACTGATTACTCAGCAGTGACCGGAAATGTGTTACCCAGATGATGCAGGGGCCATAATGTTCACAGCTTGCCATAAACTTTTATCATGTAAAGTTGCACCGGATGCGGAGATTTCTTCTTTAATGGGAAGTTTGGCGCTTGCTAGAGAATGGACTTATCTTCCCATTGTAGTTGAATCAGACTGTTCGGAGGCAACCAACTTGGTAAAGAACAGGGACAGAGATAGAAATTTGCTTTCTTAATTCATACTCATGTGCGTCGATGTCAAAACTCTGTAAACTATATATTGGCAAACTATGGTAGAACTGAAATGTGCACTGTCGTCTGGTTAGGGTCTGGACCTGAATTCCTGATGAGGTAGTCAAACTGAATGTAACCTGTCAAAGATAAAAACACATGTGAAGGGCGATGGATTTCTACTGTTGCATACGAAACTTTAATGAAATTAGCAACACACTACAAAATCAATTTAAGTTAGTTCGAAACACCAGGTATTTTTTTAATTATTGGTTGCTGGTAATGTCTCTTTGATTCAGATAAAAAAAGATACTGCAACAGAAAAACATAAGTATTTTCAAGTCGATTTAGACTTAGGTTGGGATTGCGAAGTTGTGCGAAATAGTCACAAGACTGGACATAAGTTGGTTAAACAAACAATTACTGCTGTAGTTGAGTAAACTCAATTATCAATCTAGAGATACAGAGAGACTGCTTGAAACTGAAAGAAACGTCATTAAAATTTTCGAAAATTCATTAAAACATTGCCAGGTACAGACTGACCACCACACAGGCTAGCAGTGCTATGGTAGGCTGTAACGGTAGCAGGAGGCCGGCCATCCATGTCATTGTGAACCACTGCAGGCTGCTGCAGCAGCAAGTAGCTTTCTCCTCTCTCTCTCTCTCTCTCTCTCTCTCTCTCTCTCTCTCTCTAGTGGAGTAGTTGGTGACTCCCATCACAGATACTCCCATCACAGATACAACAAAATTTTGGTCAGGTTTGGAGTAGTACCTAGTCGAGTGCACGCCACATATACAACAGGATCAATTGACTTTGATGCCAACGGTACAGTGCGGTTGCAGTCAGGAGTCAGCCAACTAGTGGAGTAGTTGGTGACTCCCATCACAGATGGGCACAAAATATTGTATAGTTGTATGATACAATATTGTATATTGTATGATTGAACAAGCATCCACGGGGACTTTGACAAGTTATGGACATATATACCTCTGGTACATAACTAAATACTAACACCCAGCTAGACAACTCAATCATTCATCCACCATGCGTCGCACAATCAATCTCTTGCTCGCTCTCATCAGCATAAGCATCTTTTCGTTCTTCACAAATGATGCACTACAACCCCAGCATCCGCATGCCCATGGGGGTGGCTGCATCCCGGCCGAGAGGGCTGCCTTGCTCTCCTTCAAAAAGGGCATTACAAGCGACAGCGCCAACCTCCTCATCTCATGGGACGGCCAAGATTGCTGCCGGTGGAGAGGCATCGGTTGCAACAATCGAACTGGCCATGTCGTCAAGCTTCACCTTCGCAGTACAATTGTGGAGGACAACCCCTGGGGCTACTATGATCCATGTGAACATGACAATTCTTTGTTCGGCGAGATAAGTCCCTCTCTACTTTCCTTGAAGCATTTAGAGCACCTGGACCTTAGCATGAACTGTTTACCAGGGCCAAATAGCAAAATTCTTAATTTAATGGGCTCCATGACGAACTTGAGATACCTTGACCTCTCTGGTATACCATTTGCCGGTAGAGTGCCTTCTCAGCTAGGAAATCTGTCTAAGTTGCAGTATCTTGACCTTGCCCAAACTGGTAATTCTATGATGTACTCAATGGACATCACCTGGCTGGCGAAGCTACCTTTCCTGCAGTTCCTTAGCATGAGCGGAGTCCAGCTCTCAGGGATAGCTGACTGGCCTCATACCCTCAATATGATTCCACCTTTGAGGGTTATTCATCTTTCTTCCTGTTCACTTGATAGTGCAAACCAATCACTTCTGCACCTTAATCTCACAAAACTTGAGAAGCTTGACCTGTCCTCAAATGATTTTGAGCACTCACTCACATATGGTTGGTTTTGGAAAGCGACAACCTTGAAGTACCTCGATCTTGGGGATAACAGGTTATTCGGCCAGCTCCCTGACACACTAGGAAACATGACGTACCTTCAAGTCCTTGATATTTCACGCAATGAGAACACGAACATGATGATGACAGGATACTATAAGAATCTTTGCAGTTTGGAAATCCTCGACCTCTCTGTTAATGGCATAAATGGCGACATAGCAGTGCTTATGAAGAGTTTGCCACAATGCACCTGGAAAAAATTGCAGGAGCTGGATCTTAGTATCAACAATTTCACTGGAACTCTGCCAGACTTTATTAGTGAGTTCACTAGGTTGAGCATACTATACCTCTATTCAAACAGCCTTGTTGGAACTATACCACCACAGATTGGGAATATGACAGTTCTAACCTCCCTTGCACTCTATAACAATCAGCTCACGGGAAGTATACCAGCCAATCTTGGGAAATTGATGTATATGACTGAACTTCTCCTCTCAAGCAATCTTCTCAGTGGAACTGTACCCACTGAAATAGGTTCTCTTATTAATCTGAATTCTCTGGCCCTAAGGGAAAATAACTTCACTGGAGTGATCACGGAAGAACACTTCATAAATCTAACAAGTTTAAGGGCAATAGACATCTCTTCCAATAATTTGAAGATTGTACTGAGTTCTGATTGGCGTCCTCCCGTTACTCTGAAGTATGCATCATTTGGATCTTGCCAGATGGGTCCTCTGTTTCCACCTTGGCTTCAGCAGCTGAAAACCACTGGGCTTGACATTTCAAGCAACGGTTTGAAGGGCGAGTTTCCTGATTGGTTTTGGTCTGCATTTTCACATGCCACATCACTGGATATCTCTAACAACCAAATAAGTGGCAGCTTGCCAGCAGATCTGGATCGCATGGCTTTTAAGAAACTCATTCTCAATTCAAACCGGTTTACTGGCCCAATACCTGCATTGCCAAATAATATCACATGGTTAGACATCTCCAACAATAAATTTTCAGGAACAATACCATCAAACCTTGGAGCCTCACTACTTGAAGTATTGTCTGTGCATTCAAATCAAATTGGTGGGTATATTCCAGAGTCTATTTGCAAACTTGAATGGTTGGTGTATCTGGATTTGTCGAACAATATTTTGGAGGGTGAAATTCCCCAATGTTTTGAAATTCCCAACATACAATTTTTTATACTCAGCAATAACAGTTTATCAGGAAAAATGCCAGCAGTTTTGCAGAACAACACAGGTCTGAAGTTCTTGGATCTGTCATGGAATAAGTTCTCTGGAAGATTACCTGCATGGATAGGAAAGCTGATGAATTTACATTTTCTCATACTGAGCCACAATAATTTTTCTGATAATATTCCAGTTGACATAACAGAGCTTGGGTATCTTCGATACTTAGATCTATCAGGCAACAGCTTCTCTGGTGCAATACCTCAGCATCTGTTGAACCTAACATTTATGAGAACATTACAACAGGAATCCGTTGGTATGGATGGTTCTGTTGAATCTCATGGAACCACAAAATTACGCACTAGCAGCATACTGAATGTTGAACAGCTAGGACATATATTGTCAGTACAGACAAAAGGGCAGCAACTTATATACTTATTTGGCAGAACACTTGCATATTTTGTGAGCATTGATTTATCATGCAACTCCCTGACTGGTGAAATTCCTACATACATCACTTCGCTTGCTGCACTAATGAATATGAACTTATCATCAAACCAATTGAGTGGAGAAATTCCAAGCATGATTGGCACCATGCAGTCACTGGTATCTCTTGACCTCTCTCAGAACAAGCTTTCTGGTGAAATCCCATCGAGCTTGTCAAATCTGACATCTCTGGCCGCCCTGAACCTGTCCTACAACAGTTTGTCTGGAAGGATACCCTCTGGCCGCCAACTTGACACCCTCAATTCCGAGAACCCGTCACTTATGTACATTGGCAACAATGGACTTTGTGGGCCTCCTGTCCACAAGAATTGTTCAGGAAATGATCCTTTCATCCAGGGAGATGTCGCCAACAGCAACCAAAAATTTGATCCACTGACGTTTTACTTTGGTCTTGTGCTTGGATTTGTGGTGGGACTCTGGATGGTGTTTTGTGCACTGCTGTTCAAGAAGACATGGAGAATTGCTTACTTCCGGCTCTTTGACAAGGTGTACGATCAAGTCTATGTCTTTGTGGTCGTGAAGTGGGCAAGCTTTGCAGAGAACACAGCCGTAGAATAAGCGTTTTCTCCGAAGGAGGCAGTGTCTGTGCTGCAATCCATTGAAGAAGAGCTCTTGACTATTAACCAGGGTGTGGATGATCTGCAGCAGCAAATGTTAATATCGTGTGTCTTGTTTTACCTCTAAATAAAGATGAAGATTTTAGCGACTCAAAAAAAAAGAGATGAAGATGTTTAGCTCTTCTGATATATTTATAACTTTAGTATTGTTAAATTATTGTGGTAAATGTAAGACTTTAATATTATTTTGTTATTCTGATACATTGGGATGTTTTTTTTCGAAAAGGGGGTTCACCCCGGCCTCTGCATCAGAACGATGCATACGGCCCTTGATACATTGGGATGTAATCATGAGGGTCTTACCCTGAATAATTTGAGCATTTTGTGCGGTTACGACAAGTTAGTTTCTCCTTGTTGCACGATGGTTTCGTCATCTGGACTAAATCGGTTGTGGACATCCCTGCAAAACTTCAGTTTATAAACTTGTACTTGTACTGTGTGACGTTACTCCCTTACTTGTACTGTACAATGCGCATATGATGGTCTTTAATCTGGGTTGACAGTGGTTTATTTCATTGGTTCAAGTGATTATGTGTAGCTTTAGATGTGTGCAGTAAAAATGTGCAATCCTAAGTGTTAATATCGATCAGCAGCAAGTGTATTTGGTTACTCTGAACGATGGGGAAACAGAGAAATAAGTGCTGTAAGTGAGATGATTGAAAGAGGAATTAACTAACCAGAAACGATCGGCACGCTCCGAGCAGCAATGGCCGCAGTTCTGCAGCAATCGCCGGCCATGGTGCGGCCGGGCGCCCTGCCCGGGTCCGGGAAGCTGACAGGTGCGCCGAATCCATCCTCCCCAGCGCCAGATCTGGGGCAACGCCACGCTGCCCTCCTTGTGGACCTTGACGGCACCAAAGGCCTCGGCTACGCGGCCGCCCTCGCCGGCCTTTGTCGCGTGCCGCCTCGGGTGGTTCGCCGCCGCCGGGGCCCAACCCCAAACAGGGAGGAGCGCTCAATGCGGCAGATCTCGAGGTAGCAGCTAGCGCAGACGCGAGGCTGTGAGGGCCGGCCCACTTTGGCGTCTACGTCGGCACATTCATCCCGTTTTCTAGCTTTTTCTTTTTCCTCTGGATTTCCTGTTTGCTTTAGTTTTTCATTTAAAAACTGTTTCGCAAAAAACAGTCTCGAAACTTGTAAGAAAATAATTAATAACTTTTTTTAAAGCCATGAATTTTAAAGGTGCCCATGGATATCTGAAAAATATTCACGTTTTTAGAAAAGTATAATTAAATCTTAAAAAAATTCGTAAATTTTAGAAACATGAATTTTAAAAATGTTAATGTATTTATAAGTATGTTCATGCAATGTTTAGAAAATAGTTGTGAACTTCAGAAAAATGTTTATGAATGAAAAATGTCCATGGATTTAGCAAAATGTTCATGCATGGTGCAGCCTTTTCATCAGAACTTTCCTGCTTCATAAAGGATGGTCTCTAGGAGGCTACACACTCCATCGATAGGTGGTAAAATGAGATTAGACATCTTAGACATTTCATGTATGCTGGGCTACAGTTTTGATAATGATTTGCAAGAAGGAACATAGAAATTCTGCTCAGTCATAGGTTTTGACTCAGTAGGGATTGCAAAAAGTAAAGAGGAATGTTAACGAGGTTTGCCTTAATATATTTGGATACTATGCATTTTCATATCAATTTGACATATAATAGGAGTTTTACGTTTACAGCGCTATTTGGCAGCCATGGTGGTTGTTGGTTTATCCGGTTTCTCGTTAGAGATTCCAGCGCAAGATGTCGAGTGACCCTGGCCATCTGGGTCCCATGGGTCAGTGCCACTAACTACTAAGATAGAGGTACCTAGCGGTGTATCTATGATATATACAGCAAATACTTCGCAAACATCACATGCATATGTCGAACCGCGGTTACGGAGATCTACGCCAATGATATACCTACAGCGTGCATGGAAGTCATACTAGAGTGGTCACCTATGTCGCATGAGTGGTGCGGTGTGGTGTCGGTCGTTGAAGAGGGCTAACAGTGGCGATGTCCGGCAGAGTGAGCAGTCCACGCAGCGAAAGTGGTACTTGCCATAGGGTGGCTGGTTGCTAGACTTGAAGATGGCGGGCGACGGTGCATAAAGCCATAAACCCACCAGTGCCCTCAGGAGTGTGGCGAACGTGGCTGGAAGTACCAGATCGGATATCACACGAGTGTTTTATCTCAGGTTCGGGCATCTGGGAAGGAGTAGCACCCTACGTCCTGATTTGTGTTTGTATTCATGGTGGAGTACCTTGTGCGAGGGTTACAATGGGAATGAAGTATTAGTCTACCAAGAGTATGGTTCTACAGATGTAGATAGGAATGAGAGCCCCCCTCGCCCCCTCCTTATATAGGAGATGGGATCTAGGTTTCACGTGAGATAGGTCCGATCTGGCCGATTTAGGAAAATGTTCATGCAAAGTGCAATCTTTCTATTTTATAATAAGGGATGGTTTCTAGGAGGCTGCACACTCCATTCATAGGTGGTAAAATGAGATTAGACATCTTGTACAGTTCATGTATGGTGGGCTATGGTTTTGATTATGATTTGCAAGAAAGAAAATAGAGATTGTGCTCAACCATAAATTTTGAGTGAGTAGGGATTGCAAGAAGTAAAGAGGAATGCTAACGAGGTTTCAGTTCAGTGATATATTTGGATTTTATGTATTTTTAGGAGAAAAAATGACATATACTAGGCGTTTATGTTTTTTACGCCACAACAACGCTATTTGGTTGCCATGGCGGTAGTTTGTTTATCCGGTTTCTCATTAGAGATTCCAGCGCAAAATGTCTCAAGTGTGGGTGTGTGTCTCGTGCTTTTGTGATGGTGAGTGATCCCAGACATCAGGGTCCCACGGGTCGGTGCCACTAACTACCAAGGTAGAATAAGTAGCTGGTGTATCTATGATACATACAACAGATTCTTCGCATACATCACATGCATATGTTGAATCGCGGCTACGGAGATCTACACCAACGATATATATGCATCGTGCATGGAAGTCATTCCGGTGTGGTCGTCGTCACCGTTAGCCCTCATCAACCCCCGCCATCCCTTGAAAACCTTTTTTGAATTATATTTGTATTTTATTTGAAATTTAATTTCATTTAATGATTAAATGGGTTTGAACTGTAAGTATGTGATTTATTACTCAAAAATATATGGAATAACTATTGTAGGTTCCTAATAATATTGGAATGCTAAATAGAGGTTCTAAAGAGATTTCACCATGTAAAATCGGTCAATTCAAAATAGAGCAAGATATATTCATATTATTATATTTCATTTTACTTAGGGTTTGATCCTAATTCCAAAATTAATAGCTTTTAATCCTTCATAAATATCCGGACTGTAATCATGAGAGTCTTTTCCTGAATAGTTTGAACAACCTTTAGTGCATTCGTCCACTTAGAGCATGGTTAATAAGAAAGTCTGCTGCTAGCTATATACCAATACCATGTCACCTAAAGTCATCATAAAAGCCCACTAGCACAATAGATTGATTGTAAACTAGCACTAGTATTTAATGTTTGTATGTGGGGAAAGGGAAGGAGACACGTTTGACCGGTGGAAAGGAAAGGAGAGCCCGCTCACACGCCTGCATGCGGAGCGGATAACGTGGTTGTGCATCTTCATCCTTTGGCTAAACAAGTTTGCTCTGCTGAAATGGAGGCCAGGACTACACCAACAAATTTTACTCACGACACAGCTATCGATGGTTTGTAAGAGGAAAAAGTCTTCGGCATCCAGGATTTTCGATGCATTTTTTAATTTCTATTAGTGTGTTTCTAAAACTTTGATCATAAAAGAACTCAAAAATATATGTTCACGTTGCCTCTTAGGAAAAGAGTCTATGTGAAGCGGAAGAAAACAGCACCGTTCGTTTATATAAAGATAAAGATCGAACATTGCCACGTTGTCTTATTCATAATTGTGTGTCCACCACACATATAGGCCATCCATTTCTATTTTATTCTTAGACACTGCTGCTGCAGCAGGGCGGGAGAGGACACTCGACGGCGTTGATCGGGTGATCAACGCGTGAGCGTGCTAGTTACCGCCGGCGGCAACAGCCTCTGACGGCGTGCACGCGGGCGGGAAGGGTCCAAAGTAGCGGTCGATGCAGAGGCGGAGAGAAGGGCGCGACCTGGACGGCAGGCAGGTCTTGCAGGTCGGAGCACACTTGTCGACCTCGTCCATGCATTGGCACGTCGGCGGGTTGGACCTGGTGCACAGGGGCAGGTCGCAGCAGTCCCAGGGGCTGCAGATGGGCCCGGGGTCGCCGACGTACTGGTCTTGGCAGACGCGGCGGGACGGGTCGCCCACGGACGGCCCGCAGGCCTTGCAGGTGGAGGGGCACTCGAAGACCTGGTCCATGCAGCGGCAGATCGGCGGGATGGACCTGGTGCACACCGCCTGGTCGCAGCACTTCCACGGCCTCTTCTTGGCCGCCATGGCTGCTTCGTCTGCAAGCCCAAGCCCTCAGTTAATCAGTTTTTCATGGACGCCTGAAGCCATGAACTAGAGAAGAAGGAGTTGACGCACGCGTACCTTGGCCTTGGCTCGGCAGGAGAATGGCGTCCACGTCGCCGGCGACGAGGAGGGCTGCCTGCAGTGCAAGCATCAGCAGGATGCTAGGAACGACGCATCGCTTCATTCCCATGGCGTGCTTACTGAGCTTGCTTGTGCGTTTGCTTTGAAGCTGGCTAGATAGCAGCCAGCCGTATATGTAGCCTCGGGACACCGATGGATCACCTAACGAGCGGACATCGCTGCATGCGAGCAGATAAGGACACGTGCACATATGCGTGTCTGATGACTAGACAGATGGACAAAAGTGTCGACAGAAGCCGTACATGCGGTCACGTGACCCACGTTCTCCCTTGATTACACATGACTGGATCCAATGCACCAATTGCGGGCCCACACCGTACCTCACGTGACCCACGTTGTGGCTAATCGATCGTTCGAAAGGCAGGCCATTCTCGTTCGAGAGACGGTGACACGCAGGCCAGTTTACTGTAGTTGCTGCGCCACAGCATCCCTCATAAAAATTTTAAAATCTGCGCCACAGCAACAATGCAAAATAGTACCGCTAAAAACAACAATACAATGTAAAGTTTGGAATACAAAAATACAGCTTGGTCAAAGTTTGAAGAAATTTTACTAAACAATATACATATGATTTTAATATATATCTTCTGGCGTTTCTGAAAAAAAATGTTTAAAAGTACTTTTCAAACATTTATTTCAAATGGCATGATAGATAATATATAATGCCATATCCCTCGCAAAAAAGAAATAATTTTATGCCATACACAGATATGGTTTGGGCAAATTAATTTGCCTTGACTAGTTTGTGGACCAATGCCACTTCCAATTTTAGTTGGTTGAAAATTTTATTCACTTAATCCGATAATATCCAAGTAAGAAGGAAATAGTTCCTAAAAAATCACACAACTTTCTTGATGATTCATCGTCGGATTGGAGCTCCAAATCCTAGAGTGAAGTCATGGATGACGAAAAAGACGAAGTACATTGATGGTTCTTCAATTAATGGATAGTGGCAATCCGAAAGAAGATGAAGCATGCCGGGTCGCAGGCTGGTCGTGCGACGGTGCACCGAAACAAAATTGAAGGGCTCGAAAAGCTCATGTGTTGTTACTTTCTATCGGTTCATACCTTCTCATTGTATGTGTTGCGGCGATGCTTCTGGATGTCCGAAAGGTTGTTTCGTTGAATTGCTGACGACATGGAAGCCAATGAACTTTTCTTCCAGAAATGGGGGAATGTTGCCGGTATCCTTGATTTCCCCCCTTGTCAAAAGGTGATCGCAACAATTTGGATGATTGCATATCACACTCCTGCAGATGCATTGGAGGAGTATCTTTGGATGGCCAAATATGCAATCATAAAGTGCAGGAAAGTATTCACTAAAACTGTGGCGAGTGTTTATGGAGAGCGGTATTTGCAAGCATCCATGCCGGGGAGACAACAAGGATTCTATCAACGCATGAAGCAAAAATATCGATCTTGGATGCTAGGGAGTGTTGTCTGTATGCACCGAAGGTGGAATAATTTCCCGTGCAACTTGGCATAACAATTCACAGGCACTGCCATGATCCAACAATTTATTTTTGAAGTTGTTGCTTCCGAAGATTTGTCGATTTGCCATAGCCATTTGGGGTTGTCAGGATCAATGACATCAATGTCTTGCAGAGAGCTCACATGTTTTCAAGGCTAGTTGATGGTATTCCTCCACCTTACAACTTTATGTTGAATGGCCATTAGTATGAAGAACTCTACTATCTGGCTGATGGCATCTATCCATCTTGATAAACATTTTTTAAGTCAATTTCTAATCCTAGAACCACAAAACTTGAGCATTTCACCAAGGCGCAAGTAGCTCAGAGATAGGACATTGAGAGGGCATTTCAAGTGCCACAAGCAAGGTCTTAAATTTTCCGGGGCCTACACTTTTCTAGAAAAAGGATGCTTTGACAAATATCATGACATGTGTGATCCTACACAAGATGCTTATCGAGGATGAGAGGAATATGCAAAGACCCAGTGACTATGAAAGTATTTGCCCAATCATCAGGCCTCGCAGGCACACAAACCACATTCACACATTTCTTGAGGTGTACTGGAAAGACTGAAGACTAGGACTCCCATCATTTGTTGAAGGAGATTCTCATTGGACATCATTGCCAGCTAGCTGGGAGATAGTGTATTTATATTTCTTTTGAATTCGTGTATTTTAGTTGAATATTTTATTTGATTGGGATATTTGTTGCATCTGGATTATTTGTTAATTTAGCTTATTTGATGTATTCAGATTCATGGTTTGTAAAAATATTTGTTGAATTGCTGTAGTGTTTGATCTAAATTGTCCTAATAGTGTAAATGAAAACTTCATCGAAATCGTGTTTGCAAGTTTCTACCATTTTTTTACAAAAAATACAGTATGTTAAGTGGGTGATGTTATATTGCCATGTGAAGTTTGTTGGAACCGCCACTCCCTAGCCCTAGCTCTGCTCTCCCTCTCGCTCACCTCACTCTCGCCTGCCGTGGCTCGATCAGAAGACAGAGGAAGAAGAAGATCAGAGGAGTGGTGGACACAGGGGTTTTTCCAGCGCACGAATGCTTTTTTCTTTCCTCGAGCATGAACTCGACCGTGTCAACAAGTTACAGGGGGGATCCAGGGTTTTATACCTGCGAGCACCGCCTGCAAGCCCACGCCTCGCACCTACTCGCCCACCCACTTCCCACGTCCTCCGTGCTCTGGCCGCGTCCACGCACCGCGCCCGTACGCGATCGCCACGGCCTCCCAGCGCGCCCGACGCGACCTCCCCCTCCTGTTTGCTCGCTAACAGCATGGTGTGGCCCCGCGCACACACGTGCTGGCTCACACACTCACACACGCACAGCTACGCACTCACATACCCGCGGACCCGGCGCGCCCGACGCGTCCGGTGCGCGCCCATACACGCACTAGCCGTGCCAGGCTCGACGCCGCGGCTTATTACACCCAACATTCGCGCCCTAAGCCGCGGCTCAGAGCAGGCTAGCGTCCTCGACGTCGCCGTCGACCAGCAACGCACGCTCCGCCACCGGCGCTTTCTTCCACTGCGGGCAGTCACGTTTGAAGTGACCCCGCTCGCCGCACTTGTAGCACCTGCCTCGTCTATTGCGGCTGAAGCCCGACGCCTCGCTGCGCGTCCCGTCGTCGTCGTCCCGAGCTCCGCCGCGCTGCCGCTCCCGCGCTCGCCACTGTGCTGCAGTGAACATCAGCTGCTCGCCGCCATGGTTGCCTCCGTCCTGCCCGCGCAGACGCAGCCTCTCATCGAAGGCCTTCAGCCGATCCAACGCGTCCTCGAACGCAATTGTGTCGACGTCACAGAACTGCTCGATCCCGGCCACCGCCGCGTACAGGCAGTCCGGCACCGAGTCGAGCAGTTTCTTGACCAGTGTCGCATCTTCCAGGGTCGAGCCCAACGCAGCGTAGCGCGCAGCCATGCCACCGAGCCTGCCGGCAAAGTCATCCAGGGTCTCGGCGTCCGCCATGCGCAGGAGCTCAAACTCCCCGTGCAGCGTGCCCAGCCGAGCCGCCCGCACACGATCAGCTCCGACGTACCTGGCCTTGAGGCTCGCCCACTCCCCCGCAGTTTTCTTCGACGCCACCTACATCAGCAGGTTCTCCGCGAGTGCACTGAGGAGGTAGGCGCGCGGGGGCTTGTCCTTCTTCGCGATGACGGCCGCCGCCGCGTCCTCCGGCACGACCACTGCCTCCCACAGCCCGGCCGTGTCGAGATTCGCCTCGACCTTGATGGCCCATGCCGTGTAGTTGTCGCAGTTGAGCTGCGGCAGTGATCCGCCCGCACCGCCACCGTAGGGGATGATCGACATCGCCGGCGCGCCCTGATCCTTACGTGACTCTGATGCCAATTGTTGGAACCGCCACTCCCTAGCCTTAGCTCTCCTCTCCCTCTCGCTCAACTCACTCTCGCCTGCCGTGGCTCGATCAGAAGACAGAGGAAGAAGAAGATCATAGTAGTGGTGGACACAGGGTTTTTCCAGCGCACGAACGCTTTTTTCTTTCCTCGAGCACGAACTCGACCGTGTCAACAAGTTACAGGAGGGATCCAGGGTTTTATGCCCGCGAGCACCGGCCTGCAAGCCCACGCCTCGCACCTACTCGCCCACCCACTTCCCACGTCCTCCGCGCTCTGGCCGCGTCCAGGCACCGCGCCCGTACGCGATCGCCACGGCCTCCCAGCGTGCCCGACGCCGTCTCCCCCTCCTGTTTGCTCGCTAACAGCATGGCATGGCCCCCGTGCACACACGCGCTGGCTCACGCACTCTCTCACACACACACACCTACGCACGCACACACCCACGGATCCGGCGCGCCCGATGCGTCCGGTGCGCGCCCATACATGCACCAGCCGTGCCAGGCTCGACGCTGCGGCTTATTACACCCAGCAAAGTTCTAACTTCAAACATAAATCATTTATGAGCTATGAAAAATACTAACTCAACAATGGTGACTTTTCATGTTCGACACAATTCAATGCTGATTTTTCTGTACCTCAAACAAAATTTAGTTTGAACGTAAAATTTCACATGCTAAAAGAACATCACACTCTTAACATATTGTATTTTTTTTAGAATTCTTTAAACTTTAAAAT